CGTCATTCTCAATATCTATCTACATTTTAAATACCCTCGCTCAATTTCATTTAGAAAAATATTGTCAACAAGGAAAGAGAGAAAGTGTTTGTTTTTGTTAAACAAATGTTAACAAAAATGTTTTTATTTAATTTTAATTAGGAAATATTCGTTGGGGATGTTTATTTTTTTAGTATTTTTTTTTATTTATTTATATTTTAGAAGAGTTAGTATATTTAGAGGGACCATAACTTAACTTATTTTTTGCTATTCAGCAGCAGAGGTGGGTCGTAAATGACGAAGGTGCCGGAAATTGGAATTCCGACCCACCTCTTTTCAGTAGCTAGAAGAAATTTATATAGATCTACAATAAATAAAATCAGATAGATCCGCCGCCAATCCAAAAGACTCACTTTATAAGCTTAATTTTATCAATTAATTTTATTGGCATTTAAAAATAATTTTAATAGTTTTAAGACTTGCTAACCTACATACACATTACTACAAATTATAATAATATATGTACACACCTGCGCAAGTTTTTTAGCTTCGAATAAATATTTTCATTAAATTAAAAAAATAAATCTGTACTTTAACACAAAATTAAACTAGAAACGATATTTGTTTGTAACCCTTAAGGCTTTTGAAAACTTTCTTCTATTTTCCAACTTTTTTTCCAATTGTTTAAACAAAAATAAAAATATTTTTTTGACTTGAAAAGCTTCCTTAGCTTCCTTTACCCTTCCAACAACTAACTTGCCATTTCTCTTCATTTTTTCTAAATATAGATTTCCTCATTTACTTTTTGGCTTTTTTGTATCCCCCCTTTATCCCCCCCCCATTTATTCCCCTCTTAATATCCCTTAAAAAATCAAAAAAGTCTTCATTCATTCCCTTCTCTTTTTTTACTTTTTAAGCTTCCAACCGCGTGCCAAAAAAGCTTTATAAACAGAGTCAGGCTTTTCCTTTAGCTTTCTTTGCCTTTCTATTTATTTAATTTCATTGATTGCTGCTTAAGGCAATAGACAAAAAGCTTAGATGGAATTTTAAAAAATTAAAAAAGAAAAATGTTTTTTTGGAGAAAAGAGAGCAAATTAATTTTTTTAAAGAATTAAGAAAAAATAAATTTTTGTGTAAACAATTTTTTGGATATTTTTTTAAATTTTATTTTTCTTAAAAATATTGTAAAAAATATTTTTAAAAATCCAAAAACAATTTTTTTAAATTCTAAATTTGGAATTAAAAAAGGAGAAAAATATGTAATTGTTTCCTTTAAATTTATCTCCTTAAAATTATTTTTATGCTTTATTTAACAAATATTTTTATTTTAAAAAATATTTTTTTATTATTAAGTGCCTAAAGGTAAGCTTCGAGCAATAAAATGGATAAATAAAAATAATTTTGTTTCCTTAATATTTTAAATTTTCAAATTAAATGTACTTTCTAATAAATTCCCTTAGATTTATTTTTAAATTAGAATTTTTTATTTAATTTTTTATTTAAAGCTTTTTTACGCCAATTCAATTTAGTTTTAAATTTTATTATTTTTCTCATATTTTAATAAATTCTTTGAAAAATAAATTCATTTAATTTAATATTTCTCGATAATTTTTTTCCCTTAAATTACTTTTAATTAAGTGTAAACCTGTGACTTATTTTTTATTAAATTATTTTTAAATTGTGTTTAAAAATAAATTTTTTAAAATTAATTTTACGGTATTAACTTTATACTAGCGTTTGGAACAATTTTGAATATTTGGAACTGTAAAAGCTGAATAACCAAAAATTTCTGTTTTTAGACCAAGATGTATCAGAGTCCTAGCCGACCAGACTCTCGAAAATCTGGAATTTAATTTTTATCTCGGATAGATCCCTAATATGTATGGATTTATGGATTTATAAATAAAAAGATCCTTCCCCCAATTATTTAATTTTTAAAATTAATTTAGAAATTATTCATTTTATTCTACCCTTTTTTCATTTTCTGATTTTTTTCATTAAATTATTTAGAATATTTATAAATTAATTATAATTTTATGCCTTTATTTTAAACATTCTTTGAATTAATAATTCCTTCTCTCAACACCTTGCAAAATTCTAAGAAAATAATTTTTTAACATAACTAATTTTAAAAGCCACCCATTTTCTTTTATAAATACAATTTTTAATTATTTTTTGTGAAATACAATTTAAGCTTTAAAAGGCTTTTTATTCTTTGGCTTTTTTGAGTAAAATAAAAATTTCTTTGCCAGAACATTCTGTTGTAGGGCGTGGTAAAGACTTGGTTGCGCGCTTATAGAAGAATCATAAGAGGACCTAGGGACTTGAAATTTTGTAAATCTGTATTTGGTAGTGTTATCTAAACTGTCTAAAAATTTCAGAATTTTTGATTAATTATTCCACAAGTTTTGGTTAAAAATATTATTTAATATTCAAAAAATTTTTGTCTAAATTTTTGTCCATTTTTCGACTTTTTAACTATGTATAACTTCTTAAATAAAAAACCGAAAATTAAAATTTTTAGACAATTTAGATAAAATTATTAGAGATTTCTTTACAAAATTTCAAATTTCTAAATTCTATTTTGGCTATTTTATAATTTACGAACACATAACCACACCTTATTTTCCCCTATAGCAAACATTTTCTTCTTAATTTTTGCTATTATCTACATAACATCAAATTTAATTTTTAGCTTTTCCCTTTATTTTATAATTAAATATTCAAAATTTTTTTGTCTTTAAATTAATAATTTATCTACAAAAATTTACAAAAATTTTCTAATTAAAGAATTTTTTCTCCTTTTTTTGATAAATAATTAGTAGTTTTTTTTGATTTTCAAAAGCATATTTTAACTAGCTCTTTATTGACGTTCTTTATTTTATTTTTCGTTGCCAAGGCAATTTTTTAGAATTTTCTTCTTTCTCTCTGCGCGTTTGTATATTTTATTTTAAATTCTTTGGCCATCTAAAATGCAATTTACTCTCGACATTGACATAAAATAAATATTTATTTATTTATATAATCCTTGGCATTTACGTCTTTTTCACATTTTTATACAAATTTCCATCATTTTATTTAAAATGAGACTAGACGGGTGGGCGCGGTAATGGGTGGGCGTTGACATGTAAATGTACCTGATAATGAGAAGTTAAACAAATATTTTTATAGGGTATCTAACAATATTTATAATCTCATAATTTTTGATATTTCGAAAGTCATGATCAAAAAATTCTGGAACTAAAACCACATTGAGATATATTTTTGCTCATAACTTTTAAAATAATTAACCAAAAATTCTGAAATTTTTTGAATAATTAAAAAACAATTTTAAATATATTCAAGCAAAATTTCAGATTTTTAGGATTTCTTCTGTTAATTATATAAGCTCCCGCGCCAAATTATTTATGCGCCCAAACATGCCTGACATATATCCAAACTTATCTAAACTCCTCTTTTAAAAGAGTATTTTGTTTAATTTCCTTTTTAAAATTGAATCATTAGGACATTTTTTATATAAAAAGGGAAAATAATGAAATTTATTTTAATTTAATTTTGCCATTTTTGGAAATAATATTTTTTATTTATTTTTATTTTCTTAACTTTTTATTCTAAAAAAATAATTTTATTTTTAATTTTTGGTGTTTAATTTATTAAGTTTTGAAATAGTTAATTAAATGTATAAAATTTAATGAATAATTGAAAATGAATAACCAAAAATCAGAAAATTAATAGAGAAGACTGTCATTATGCCCTGTTGGGGATTACATACCTATGTCCACTAGTCTACCGCAAAACCATAACTAAACGTAAAAATACCATAGGAATCCTTTACGTTCTCAATGAGATCCGACGAAACTCAGCAAGATTCGACAAATCATTCCAAAATTATTTCATACGCCTAGTTTAATGTCTTGGGGCTATAATTAAGGTGTACCTTTCCAGTTGTTCGTTTTATTAATTTTAAAAATTAAATTTTTACTTATTTTTATTTATTTTTCGTCAATTTAACAAACAAATATTTTTTATTCCATTAAATATTATTTTCTTGTTTCTAAGGGTACAAAGTCAAGATTATTTATATTTATGTAAATTTATTTTAAACGACCTTTTTTTCATATTTTTTCATCTAAAAACGTATTTTTTATGGCTACCTCTCTTAAAAGTACTTGTTTATTTAAAATTATTTTGTTAAAAATTTTTTTCTGCCTTGAGTACTTAAGGGCATTTGCGAGGACACATTTAACACGTTGTTGCTTTATTAAAAAGTTAAATAATAACTTATCGTCATTAAATTTTATTTATATTTTTGATTGTGTTATCTAACTGTATAAAAAAATTCAGAATTTTCGGATAAATATTTCATAGGTTATAGTCAAAAAACTAAAACAAAATCGAATTCATTGGCTATAGGCGCCCGGTTTCTGCGTTTTTATTATCCTTAACTTCTGAAATTAATTACCCAAAAATTCTAAAAATTTTAGAATAGTTAATTAACACTTTTGGGGATATCAGGACAAAATTTCAAGTCTCAAAGTTTTTTTTACTGTTTTATAAGCGTCCATATCTTCAAACAGACAAAAAATAATTTAATTTTTTAAAATTATTAAACATTTATAAAGGGGTTTGACTCAAAATTTTTTAAATTTCTGACTAGACGTTACTCCTTAAATTTATAAAATAATTTTCGACTTTCTTAAATAAATTTTAAAAATTTATTTAATTTCTTCTCAATACGGAAATAAATATTTACAAAAATTAAGAAAAAAAAATTAAATTTCCTCTTAAAAATATAAAGGATTATTTTATTTAATAAATATTAAACAGGAAATACGTACATATTATTTTTTAAATTTGTTTTAATTATATAATTTCTTCCTTAAATTTTAATCTTTAAATTATTTCCTTCTATTGTTAATAATTTATTTATTTTTATTTTTAATTTTGATGAATTAAAACAATTATTTTATTTGCGTATTCTTTAAAAATTTAATTTTTAATTTTCAAATAATTTAAAGATTAAATATCCCCTCATATACAAAATGGAAGAAGGGGAAGAAGCTCTATTTTTTCGTAATGACAGAGGCCCTTCATCTCCAATACGTTCACCTCCCATCGGCCCCAGTGGAAGAAATGCTATTTCCTTTGGTAATAAAATAAAAATTGTTTTTTCTGAGTTATTCTGAGTTTTAAAAATTAAAAAAAATCACAAAAAAAATTTTTTTGTTATTTTTAGGTTCCCAAATGTTGGCTGTAGGCGCTGGTTTCTGTGTTTTCATTGTCCTTTTGGCATTTTTTGCTGCTATTCAGCACCGAAAACGTCGACGTGCATCTTCTTCAGCTAGCACTTACCGTTCTCCATTAATTCACAAATTTTCCTCAGCTTCTGCTTATGGGCAGCGTCACCATTCTGCAAGTCAAGCGATACCTCCACCATTACCTCCACCACAATATTTGAGATGTTCTAACCAGGCATGTTTTGTTGAAGAAATAAATTTGTATTTTATTTATTTAAAAATCAGAATAAAATTTAAACTTGTTTAGAAACACAATCAGAAATTAAACAAAACAAGAAAACACAAAAACATTTAAACATAAAACAAAAACAGAACAAATAAAAATCAGAATAAAATATAAACTTGTTTAGAAAAAACACAAACAAAACATGAAAACAAAAACATTTCAACACAAAACAGAAAAACAAAAATAAAAATCAGAATAAAATCTAAACATCAAAACTTGAGAAACAAGCCTACTTAAAAACAAAACACAACACATTTATAAAATCTAAAAACACAACCTACAAACAAACAAAACATGTTTAAATAAACTTAATTTACAAAAACATACACAAATTAAAATTTAAAACAAAAACACAAAACATCCAAACAAAAAAATTGTTTTTATTTTCAGAATTTACGTAAATGTTCTAGCCCAGGCGGTTCAGACTACTCTTTGTCCTCTTCATCATCTACCTATTCATCCGCACATTCCCTTTCTCCAATGTCCCCATACGGACACAATCATCCTCATCAACAACATCAACAACAATATTTATTGGGTGGAACAAATACACAAGGTAAATTGGAAAAAAATTGTTTGAGAATGTGTTTTCTCTTTATTTAATTTATTACGTATTTTCCGGAAATGATTGTATTTTATTTTTATTGCGTTAATTTGTTGTTTGTATTTTATGTTTTTTTGTGTTTTCTTCTTCAACTGCTTCCGGAAGTGTGTATTTTATTTTTCTAGTAAAGTGTTTTTGCTTTTTCTGTTTATTTTTAAACTTCCAGAAAAACATGTTTTGCTTGTTTTGATTTTTCTATGAACATTTTTATTTTATTCCAGTTTGTTTTAGTGTTGCTCTGAACTTTTTTCAGAAATTACCTAGCAGAGAGCGAGCTGTGCCTGGACCAAGGCCTGGGTTTTTCCTGTACCCAGAGTCAAGGCCCAGACATTTTTTGACTTTCCTGGGTTTTTCCTGGGCCTGTGTTTTTCCTAGACTACAGGAAAATAGGCCAATAAATCAAATCCAGAGCCCAGGAACAGGCCCAGGCTTTTCAAAAATCTCGATCTCTATTACCTAGTATTTTTCCTTTTGATTACTTAATGTTTCCAGAAATAAATTTTTTGTTTTATGTGTTCTACGTGTTTTGGTTTTGCAAAAACATTGTTCTTGTGTTTATGAAATCAGAATGTTTTTAGAAATAATATTCTAATTATTCTAAATTCCGTCTTTTAAAGGCAGTCCATTTACCGGCATCAATTTTATCCCTTATGGAAATAATGGCGGGCGTGTTTCAGCACCCCCACCCCCAACAACAACAATTTCGTTTAACGGAACAGAAAAACGTCGAAGCTTCCCCACCGGGCAGCAACACCTTGGATTTGGTTCTGCCAATAATGGGGGGAATTTCCCTCCAGAGTTGGTTGTTGACAAGGAAAGAGGAAGGGGCTCTGTATCTTTACAGTTGGCTTATGATGCTAATAATTTGGCTTTACAAGTGAATAAAAATATTAATTTTTAATAAAAAACATTTAAAAATACTCAGAGATAATTTGAAAAAAATTATTATTTTTCTATTAGATCACAGTTCTCGCCTGTAACGGCCTTCCCAAATTTTCTGATTCAACTCCACTAAATCCATATATCAAACTTCGTCTTCTCCCAGACGGCCAACACCGAGTAAAGACCAGAATTCTTCGAGACACAACAGAACCTATTTTTGACGAGGCTTTTACAATGTATGGATTGGGGGCAGAAACTTTAAATAATTGTCAATTACATTTGGCTGCTTTGGCTTTTGATAGATATAATGGAGATACTGTTTTGGGGGAGGTAATAAGGAATATTAAATGAATTATTTTTATTATTATTGAATATAGTGAAAATATCAGCGAAATATTTCCGTCTGTCCACAAAATTTGTAAAAATTAAATATCGAAATTTAAATAGGGTTTCACTCCGAACGCTCGGGGGCTCGTATGTTGGGGTACGGGGGTTCCAAATTGTTACGGGGCGGGTTCGGGTCGGAAGAAAATCTTTCGGGAATGGGGGTCGGAATGCAACTAAATTTAATTAAAAATTCTTTAAAGGCTCTTTATCCTCTCTCTTCTGCTGATTTATCATTAGGAGGAGAACCTTGTAATGTTTCTCTCAAATGGGAGGCACGGCAACAATTTAAAGAAGAAAATGAAGAAGAAAATAATTTTAATAATAATAATAGAGGTAAAGCACTTGTTTCTTTGGATTTTGAACCAAAAACACGTCAAGTACAGTTTGCATTGAAGGAAATGGCTGATTTACCTAAAGATGCGACTTTGGGACTTCCTGGTAAGAAAAGAAAAATTAAACTATTTATTCATTCCTTTCTTTTAAAGATCCATATGCAAAAATTTATGCATTAATTAATGGAACTAAACGAATAGCAAAACACAAAACTCGTGTTCAAAAAAGAACATTAACACCTTTATTTAAAGAAGATGATTGGTTAAATTTTGTATTGCCTGAAAGTGTTGGGATTGGGAGTGATGGAATACCTAAAGGGTTGTCTTTCCAAGTTGTTTTGTTTAATCATGATGGTGAGTTAATAATTGAGAATAAATTAAAAATTTGTTGAGTTTTGGGGAAACCTTTTAAGTAAGAGTTAGCAGGGGGAAGAAGAGTTAGCAGGAAAAAAAAGTTGCCAAAGTAAGAGGAGGGCAGTTATTCTGAATTAACTATTTTTAGGAATTATGATGGAAATTAAGATCCAAAATCAAAATTTAAAACTAAATTAATAGTAAAATGAAAAAAATTTCCAAAATTTATACTAAACCACAATTTCAGTATTAAAAAATTTTTTACAAAAATCAAAAATAAATTTCCTTAAAAACAAATAATTATTTATTTAAAAGGAGTAAAACGAAATGAACCAATCGGTCAATTCACAATTGATGCTGAATCACCCCAATTTGTGGCTGCCTTCCAAGGCAATGGATATACTAATAAAAATGGATATAATTATGAAAATGTTTCTGAATGGCATAATATTCAAGCATTTTAAATGAGGAAAGAAATAAATAAAATTAAAAATAGATGAAATGAGTTTAAAGGGGGAAAATGTACATAAAATTTTAAATTAAAGCTTTATTTTTAATAAAAGATTTTTCTTGTTAATCTAAATACTAAATATATTCCAGATTTAAAATTATTCTATTAAAAAGATTTTTTATCACAATAATTTAACTAAAAATTCAAAATATTCTTTTAATTTTTAAATTTCTATTACATAAACAAAATTTAAAAATATTTTTTTTTGATAATTTTATGAATTTACTATTTTCTATTTAAATACCACATATACATAATTAAGGGAAGTTAATGATCTCATTATTATTTTTTTCTAGTCACACACTATTTTTGTAAATATTTTTCCTTTTGATTTATAATAATTTTTTCTACATCAAATTTTGTATTTAACTACTATGTATAATCTAAAAAAATAATAAATTCAAAAATTCAAATTTTTATTTAAAAATCAAAATAAATGAACGATTTTTTATTGTTACTCGAATTAATTAAATGTCCCACAAAACATTTGAATAAAATGATAAGATGTGTTTTTAATAATAAAATTTTAAATAAAATTCTTTGAGAATTAAATGTTTTGAAATGTCTTATTTAAATTGTTTTGTCTCTATTATTATTTCTTGTTTTATTTGAATTTAAAGGTAATCCTGCAGGCTCTGGGAGACACCTTAAAAACACCTTAAATTTTTTTCGAAATAATCCGGATTCTGCAGGATTACCAATTTAAATAAAACCTTCATTAAATATTTTGGGAAATGCCTGGAAAATATTTGGGAAATGTTTTTAAAACAATTAAAAAATATTTGTAAATCTCAACTAATTTTTGAAAAAAAAATAAAAATCATTTTTATCAAATAAGAAAAACAAAGCTAACATTTAAACCAACGCGATAAATCAAATAAAAATCTATAAAATAATTTTTTTAATTTCAACATCAGTGCCAAAATATTTTTCCTCATTACAAATTAAAAACTTTAATTTTGGATTGTATTTATTGGAAAGTTGATACTTTGTAAATTTCCAATTATAGTAGATGTTTTTAAATTTAATTTCGATATTTTCTGCTCTAGCACTTAAAATAATACGCCCAGGAGTATCGCGTAACTCAATTTCTTTGACCATTTTAGAAATGTCCTTTGATGTTTCTATATGCTAAAATTAGATATTTTTAATCTTAATTTGACTTTTTTAAAAACTTAAACCGCAATAGCTTTTAGCTTACCCAAAACCCGCCCCAGGAAATCTTCAAAACCCGACTAGAGATTTTCAAAACCGACCATCCCGTAAAATCCTTGAAACATACCTCTATAATAGTATTGTAAATCTTCGGCAATTTATGAGAAGTTGGCAGGTCATACGGATACCAATACGAAACCTTAGAAAATTGATTGCCTCCATTTGTCAAAATTTCAAATAAAATGTCCGTATTCTTGTCTATATTGGTATAAGGATGAGGTATTTTAACCCTAAGTTCATTTGAGATCAGATGATTCAATGCAAATGTTAAAAAATATTTAATTTTCTCATTATCTGTACTTTCAGACAATGAATAGATGGCAAATTGAGAGTGAATATTTAAGTCCATATTTGTTTTATTCTCTTCAAATAATAGTTCAATCATTTTTGGGTTGAGTATACAAGAGCGCGGCTCAAAAGTATAAGCGTACTTCAAAAAATTATTAGCTCGAGATTTGATTAACCAAATATTACTTATTTGCGCATTTTTGGATTTTCATGTTTATAACATTTTTTCAGTATCAATTTTTATATTTGTTGGAATTTATGTATGTAGATTTGGTACTATGCGTTTATCTGGACGCATTTCCCTTTCCTATTCCTTTCTCATAAATATACCGTATTTCCTAAAATAGTACTCCCGGGAGTACTATTTTTCAACCCTCCTCCAAAGGGGAGTACTATTTAAGGGGGGAGTACTAATTCAGGGGGGAGTACTATTTTTCAACCCTTTTTTCATTTATCATAAGAAAATTTATTTCAAAATTCTAAATCAATTTGAGTTCGTTATCTGAAAAATGCCTGATCCGACCCGGATTTTCAAAAAATTTAATTATTAAAAGCTCTCAAAAAATATTCAAATTATTATAAAATTGAGCAAATTTCGGGACATTTAAACACAAGTGACATAAAATAAGGGGTATTGAGGAAAATCAAGAAGGATATTAGTTAATTTGGAGTGATATTGAGGAGTATAAGGGGATTTAATCGATTAAGGGTAGATATCTAAATTTACCACTATATCCATCTTGAACTCCCGACCAGTTAATACACTTGTATGTGTCAAATTCCCTAGATATCCTTCAAAAACACTGATATCCCCCTTAATCTTTTCAGACTCATAATCTTACGAATCCGCATATATCCGCCGATATTATTCAATGTCACTGAGAAATTGATGTACCTAATCGCTGTGTCCAGGGATTTATCAGCATTAATCACCGTTATCCTCCACATCTCTTTTTCTTCGAATATCCTTACGAATTCTAGGATATCCATATTTAGGCGTGATAACAAGTAGGGTTTCGTCCCGAACGCTCGGGAATGAGTGCGTCCCGAACACTCATCCTTAATTTTTCTCTCAAATTCCTTTATCAAACCATACTACTTGATCTAGTTAGAGATGAACTAGGGGAATTGGAACTTTTAGACCCCACTTGATCAATCCAGAACATATTATAGGTTAAAATTTCAGTTCGTTTTCGGTAAGCGAAAACTGTCCGGTTTCGGTTATCGAAGAATCAAGTGAAACCGACAACCCTAATCAGAATAAATAAAATAATTCAATAAGTAAATTTCAATAGAATAATTCAATGTTTCTTTTATGATTTTTTTCAAATATAGGGGAAAAATATTTTAGGGGGGAGTACTATTTTAGGGGGAGTACTATTTAAGGGGGGAGTACTATTTTTCAACCCTCCTCCAAAGGGGAGTATTATTTAAGGGGGGAGTACTAATTCAGGGGGGAGTACTATTTTAGGAAATACGGTATATAACAAAATAGTCAAATACAAATAAGGGTCACACAATATTCGTTTATAGAAAATGCTTATAGAAAATCTTTAGTGGACCAAATTGCTTAAGTCACAAATAATACTCTATGACGATAAGTACACAGCTCTTCGTGTTAGGGCCTATGGTCAGGTATTGGCCATGTGTAGCATAATTCTGGGTAAAAAGATCTCTCTATTCCTAAAAAAGAATTTTGAGAATACAGTGAACTTATTTCTAATAGAAGTACACACTCAACGTTGGGATAGGTTCTAATTGCTGAAGCTGTTTAGTTACGACATAGTCTCAATTAAATTAATGACACATTACTTATTCTGAAATACAACATATCGTCTGACAGTTATTTTTATTTGACAAGAAAAGGAAAATGCGGGCGGATAAATGCATATTACCGTAGATTTTTCCTTATGTTTGAAAGACGAAAATCCAAAGAATACTTGTTTGCAACAAAAATTAAACGTATCTTTGAAAATTTTAAATTCTGTGAAATAATTTGAATAATTTCACCATGTTTACAATTTAAGTATTTTTGATTAAATAGATTTTTTTCAAGTGCGCTTATACATCACCGAATCTAATGTAGCATTTCTAAAGAAGCATTTAAAAATTTGTCGAAAAAGATAACGAGCAATTTTCATTTCTTCAACATTTTTTGGATAATTTGGCAAATTGAACTTCAGTAATCCTAAATAAAATTTTGATGATTAAAAAATTAAAAAAATAATTTCATCCAAAGAAAAAAAGCATTTAGAATTTTCTGCAGATTATATACTACTACTGGCGACAGAAAATAAAGAATACATTCAAATATTAGTGAAATCATTAAAATGTTCAATTTCAAATAAAATAAATTCAAAGTTTAACACATTTATTATTTACCCGAAAAGATGGAACTGGCCAGTTGAGTACCCAAATAATGAACAAATGCTGCTGGAAACTGTTTCCTGGATTTTCCGGAGATAATTTTTCCGGATTTTACGAATACAATCTTTACAGAACACATTTTCCGGATTTTCAGTAAATTATTTGCTATTTTCTTCTATTGCTATTTCCTATTTGCTATTTTCTTCTTGTTCCCGGAAAATCCGGAAATGGTTTACGGAAAATGGTTTCCGGAAAATGGTTTCCGGAAGATGGTTTTCGGGCCGGAAAATGGTTTCCGGAAAAGCTGTACTACTCCAAAAGCCATTTTCCGGATTTTTTCAAAGTTATTTTTCGAGAATATTCCCGAAACCAAATTTCCGGAACATTTTCCGGAAATTATTTTCCTGAAAAATTTGATACTTCTAGGCCTGTAGTATATAGGTAACATATAGGTAACCATGACCTTGTGGTTAGGTTACCTAGTCATTTAACCACCAACCGCCCCTTTGTATAGTAATTTAGAAGAGTTTGGGGATTAACAATGATATTGAGGGATTAGAGGTAGATCGTTTTAGATGATTTTTAAAATATGTTAAAAAATTTTATTTCAAAATTTTATTTTAATTTTAAAAATTTTTAAGAAATTTTACCGTTCAT